CTCTTGAGAGTCCCCTGGACTGCAAGGAGAACAAACCTATCCATTCTGAAGGGAATCAACCCTGAGTGCTCACTGGAAGGACGGATCCTGAAACTGAGGCTCCAATCCTTTGGCCATCTCATGAGAAGAGAAGACTCCCTGGAAAAGACCCTGATGTTGGGAAAGTGTGAAGGCAAGAGGAGAAGGGGACGACAGAGGACGAGATGGTTGGACAGGGTCATCGAAGCGACCAACACAGATTTGACCCAACTCCGGGAGGCCGTGGAAGACAGGAGGGCCTGGCGTGCTCTGGTCCATGGAGTCACAAAGAGTTGGACACGACTAAACGACTAAACAACAACAAAGCCAACATCCATGCTAGGTTTGGGATTCCCAGAGAGGCAGTCTAAAAAGATGACTTCTCTAAACTTTTGCTAAGCATGACTTGAGATGGGATCGAGAGAACGTCTGACGAAACTTTTTCAGTCTATAAGAAGCAGACCCGCCCAAACTGTTGGGAAGCAGCATTTTCAACCCTGTGCCAGTTCATTTTCTTTTATTCACATGGGGTTGACTCATCAAGAAGCAGAAAAGATTGCCCAAGACAAGGCTTGAGTTCTCTTAGCAAAAAAAACAAAACAACAACAGCCGAGAGAGAGATTTAAATGCACAACCTTATTATCGAGGCGTCTTGTGATTTAGTAACTCAGACTTGTTAGGAGAGCATTAGAAGCAACCCTGCATTCCTCCTTTGCATTCAAAGGGATATTTGGGGGAAATTATTCGAGAGAAAACACACCAGTCACTGTCCACAGCTTCGAGCTGAAGCCTTGTGCAAATATGACTCATACCTTCGACACACCCAGGGCTCAAGGGTTCCAACTCCCTGGCCTTCTCTTCTCCTTAAAAGAGCAGTTTATTTTCTGCTGAATACAAACTTTCTGCCACAATAAAGAACTCTCAGAACTACTTTGGGCTCGCAGGTGGAATAAAAAGTAGCTTCTTCGTCTTGTTGACAGCAACAGCGTACAGTGGTGCCCTGCATGACGACGATAATCAATTCCAGGAAAATTGCTGTTAAGCGAAACTGTTGTCATGCGAAAAACAATTCCCCATTGGAATGCATTGAAACCCTTTTAATGCATTCCAATGGGGAAATTACCTCATCGTCCAGCGAAGATCACCTATAGGGGAAGCCATTTTCCAAGCACCGATCAGCTGTTAAAATGGCTGTCCTGCGAAACATGGGTCCGGAATACACAGGGCAACCATTTTGTGGAGCTCGAAAACATCATCGTCTTGCGAACAAATGGTTCGCGAAGCATTGACCTAATCAACTTCCAGCGGAATTTCCCCATAGGAACTACTGTTTTGTGAATCACTATAGCAATCACAAAAAGTCACTGTCCTGCGGATTCATCGTACAGCGGGGTCATCATCTAGCAAGGTACCACTGTATTGGCAAAAAGCCTTATGGCCATTTGCCACTTGCTTAATACAAGCAGTGTCATTTTGGGCAGCAAAGGGCTGCAAATTACAAAGCCAGAGTGGACCTTATTTATGGGGTGCTGAGTCGAGGGATGCAGTACCCCACAGAACCCCTGATTGGCAATTCACAACAAGTTGTGTTCGTTGTGTTATGCTGGTGGGTGCAACAGACAGGATTCTGGCTGTGAGCTCCATCACATCAGTTGACACGGAGATCTGCTCACAGGTTCAGGTATGTGACCTGGGCTTGCTCTCCCGTTACGGAGAGTGAGGCATCTGACTCAGGCAGCAGATTCTGGAGGGTGGCCGCAGCTTTTCCTCCCGAACACCTGGCTCTTTCCCTCTGATCAAGGACACAGATGAGTGCACCCCACAGCCTTTCCCAAACCCTAAATCAAGGTTCCAGTTTCCAGCTAGGAGCAAAGACATTCTCTCGTCATGAGTGTCAAAATTCAACCGCCAGCTCAGTCCGCTTCCTTGGGTAGAAAACAGGAGGATCTCAGCTTGCTTATGGTCTCAGGGAGCAGAACCTCTTGGGGCAGACCCACCAGCTAGAACTCCATGCTTCTCAAACGTAGGTCCCCAGATCTTCCTGGTCTACACCTCCCAGAAATCCTGGCCAGCACAGATTACTAGTAGTGAAGGCTTCTGGGAGTTTCAGTCCAAGAACATCCAGGGACTCAAGGCTGGGAACCACTGAACTAGGCAAAAGAACCAGCTCAATCAATCAGTGAATCATAGAAGCTGGATCATCCCTCATTCCATCCACATGAGACACTCTTAACTACTTTTCCTCTCCTCCACCTGTGGTTCCCAACCTGTTACAAGTTCCCACATTCAGTTGCGGAATCCATTTCCCTTGCACAGAATTTTGGACGGTCTGACCGAGGAAGGACCAGAAGTCTGCCGTCTTGATCTCCTCCTGGGATGCAGTTGGTGTCCCCTTCACGACCAGAGCCTTCAGGGTGTCCACAGAGAGGCTGCAGAAGGAAAGGACCCAGAGAGAGCCTCAGAATCGCCCCCTCCGAAGAAGAAGAAGAAG